AACAACAATTTCAAATTCTCATCAAACATTTCTTAAAAAAATTCGAGCTAAGCCAAAATTTACTGCGTCAGAATTAAAAAACGCTATTTTTGGTTGTGTTGTTTTATGTTAAAAACATTTTTATCATTACTGTAAATTTTCATGAATACAAAAATTTTGAGCAAAAAATATTTTACAAAATTTCGAGTAGAGCTAAAATTAACTGCATTAAAAATTGCTATTTTTAGTTATGTTGTTTTATAAAAAATCACGAAGTTATTTAATAGTATGAATGTGCATATATATTTCTAAGTATTTAAGTTTCGTGTGGCACGCGTTGTTTCGCTCTTTTGTTGCATTGTAATTGTAGTTAAACGGGTTGTTGTAAGTACAGCGGGTTGTTGTAGCTGTAATTAAAAAGTATTTAGCAGTTGGTAAGCAACACCGGAAGTACGTAAATGAATTTTAATTTAACAAGGCCCACGAACATGCTTCTTGTACGAGTATATTATTATATAATATATTTCTATATATGTATGTATATAGGTATGTGTGTGTTTGCGCTCTCAACTGACCTATACCGCATTTAAAGTTTTCCATTTCACAGTTTCTTTATAACCAAGACACTGCACGCTTTCGCTTTCACATTTCGAGAGCCGTCGTTTAACCGCCGAATCGCCGCAGCGGACGAGGAATAATGACAGTAGCCATGGCAGTGACAGTGACTGCGTTAGTGTCTGTGACCGTTACAATGTCGATGTATGTGCATGTGTCGATGCCGATGGCGTGTGCAGTAAACAGTTATAATCGGTTTTTCTGTTTTGTGGCTTAAGACCTTAAAAGCAAACAGTATAGCAAAAAACACACACTTATATGGGTGTCTGAATGTATGTATTGTTTGAGTTATTCTTTCCACAATTCATTTACATTTGTTACCTTTCTTTTTGAAATATTCTGTACTAATGTCGGCTAACCAACGTGCTTAAAGGGGTTCTCAATAGGATAGTTTCATGTGAAGGGATATAAAAAAGACTGGGATGCGTTATTTTTCTATTCAAAATTTGTAAAGTATAGTAATGACTGTTAACTTCAGCATAAACAGCGCTCTAAAACCACTTTTTTTTAAATGAAAATGAATTGAAAGCTTCAAAGGAGCATTCTTATATAAAAGCTTCCTTCGTATAAAAAATTTTTCATTTTCTACTAATGTGGCCGGAATCAATTTTTTTAAAAACAAAATCCAAGGAGCTTTCTTATATAAAAGCTTTTCTTCTTAAAAAAATTCCTATTCCGATTATTATAAAATTTATATTTTTTGGAAAAAAAATCCCAAGGAGCTTTTTAATATGAAAGCTTCCTTTGTTATAAAGTTTAATCACTTATTCTATATTTTACTTTTTCAGTTTTAATATATTTATGTCAAATACAAATCGAATTAAGCCTCTAACAAACAATTTTTTAGTAATGAAAATTAATATGAGCATTTTAATGTGAAAGATTTGCTAGTTTTAATGTAAGTATCCTATGTGCTTACTTACTTTCCACATAATTCGTTTTATAAAAAATTATTTAGTGCTAAAAACTAATTAGGAGCTTTTTCGCGTGAAAGCTTTATTGGGTATAAAGGTGTATGTGACTGGGTTGTAGATATAACTAGAGTGTCTTCTGTCTCGAAAGTATTCTCTGAGAGAAGGAGACGCTTCGGATCCTAGAACCCAAAATTCGTGACCAGAATTTTTGTTTTTACTTTCTGCAAGTACTTTATTATATTTTAATTATTTGTTAGTATAATATAATATTTTTTTATTTTGTTTATGTGAAAAAAATAATTATATTACGGAAAGTGCCTTTCGCTTTCATTTTTTCTTTTTTACAATTGCCGGGAGCAACCCAATAAGCCATTATAAACGCAAACACTAAATATTTCATACTCCAGAAGCACTTCTTCCATATTTACAACAAAAACACGCGCTTGAAAAATGTGGAAACGTAGCCAAGACGCACAGGCACACACACCCTCAAAGCCTATTAGCGGAAAGTATTCTACTGACATATGTATGCCTCTAACGTCAGCTCCTCTCTAAACATTTCTCCCTCTGCTCTTTATTGCTTTTTTTTTACCTGCCGTTGAGCGATTTTTGTTAGCGCCATTTTCAGCGCATTTTGCTCATAAGTACCAGCCGTCATGGCGACCACACCATAACCATGGCTGCAGGGTGCACGTAGCGTATGAGTAACACCTACTAGCAAGAGTAGCGGCAACAACAACAGTCGTGACTGAGTGCGGCCTAAGGCAACAGAGTGCATTATTTATTTGCTTTTACGCTTTTCTTGAGACTGTCTCATTTCCATTCTGCCGTTTTTCCTGTTTTTCTCCATTTATGCTCCTGCTGTCTTGCCACATTCTGCTGCAGGTCGCATAATGCCAACAGCAACAACAACGCTCGCGACTCGTTGGCAACGTTTAAACAACAGCCCACGCAATTTGCCTGCCACAAACATATTTGGATTCTTCTTTTCTTGTTTTCCTTCGCACCACTGAACCGCCTGTTTGTGCAACCCGGCGGCGCACTCGCTGCCTTTGACGTATTTTCCCGTTACAATTGAAACTGCTCAACGTCGCCATTATGCTTGTGCTTTTACTCACTGCTTTTGGGGTTTCTTCTTGTGTGTTTGTTTTTGCTTTGACTATTATTATTATTTTCTTGCCCTTTATTTGCTTTTGTATTTTGCTCCTTTTGTTGTTTATTTTGCTTTTCGTTGCGTGACGTAAACCGTACGACAGACGGACAGTCGCATTGAATTATCGTGATATGTTTGTGCAACGCGATTATATCAGTACATGGCGGCAGTTATAAGGTGGCGTTTAAATGTAAGGCTGCCGGTTACCCACTCTTACACAGAGAGAGAGAGAGGTAAAGAGAGAGCTCAGCTTAATGCCGAGCATGGCAACGCAGCAAATGTTTGCTGTTGTTTGTGTGCGTTTATTAAGTGTTACGTGTTGCTGATAGCTCGGAAAGCAACAATAACAACAACAACAGGGAGAAAAGTCAGAACAACAACTTATGTGCTTACTTGTAACAATTGTAAAGTATGTCGTTTTGCTACCAGTGTTGTTGTTGTGTTTTTCGTTTATGTCCATTTCATAACATTGCTCAGCCAGCACACATACTTACGTTTATGGTTGAATGCTATTAATATTTTTTTTAACGTTTTATATGTTCTTTACTCTTCTGAGCCAGATATGTTTGAATATATTTCCATTTCCTATTTGCTGCGAGCAAACGTAATAGAGTAGAATAAAAATATATATCTTGATTTTTATCGGAGATTGTACCATTGCCTTGAGTAATAATCCATGTCAAATTCTGTGCAGATTCCTTGTCAAATGACAAAGTTTTCCATACAAGGACTTAGGTTGAATCGGTCAGTTTGCGTGGCAGCTATATGCTATATTTGTCTGATGTCGGCGTATCCGACAAATGAATTGACGTGTGAATAATTTCCTATCGATATCTCAAAAACCGAGAGACTAAATCTACGCAACTCGTTAGGCTGTTAATTCATATACATATGTATATATTTTATATGGTTCAGGGTACAACAATATTTGAGTCTTTTTGGAACAAGGCCAATATTTAAAATAATTATGTATGTATATACAACCAAAATTTAGTAAAGTCTCTTTTTTTTATACTCGGACTGAAAAATATGTGTATGGATATATACATATAATGTAAAAAATAAACTAGAATAAGGAAGAAATTTTCGGTCGCAAGCTAAACTAACAATTGAGCTGATAAAAATTTTAGTAAGTTTAGTTTACAAAAAAAAGTTTTCGTGGTATTTTTGCTGATTGCGATTTGGTTTTTAATCTCTTTATTGTTTATTTACAGCTGACATTTCTTACAAAACTTCGAACTCTTACACAGTAACAAGATTTGCCATATACATGTTGCCTACTTCTAGGGGCATTTACTACATTTTTAGTGAAGTGACATACCGCAAAAAGATTGCAAATATATTTGGTAGTTTTTTCGTATTAAAACAAAATCTTTTCCCAGCTGAAAGTGGAAATTAGGCATAAAGATTATTCGCTCTTATTAAGGTTATACTGAGGGCCGTAGACATAATATTTGGAGTCTAGGTAAAACATTCAATGGCAAAAAAAAGTTTGCAATACAATAAAATTTTAAAAAAATTTCCAATTGTAGCATTGAAATAATCCAAGTGTTGATTTTATATAATTGTTATATAAAATCGGTTTTGGGTATTTAGTAACGATTTTAGGGAATCAAAGGTAAAAGTCCAAGGTTTAGGTCAGTTTAAAATATTTCATATGGCATAAAATTGTCTTAGCTGAAACTGAAAATCAATATATCTTATTAAGCACTGAATATGGTGCTCATGTATAAATAAAATATCACCTTCACTCTACTTTGTACCGATTTTAGGTACACAAAAGTACCCATAACTAAAATTGTGGCAGTGAATGAGGTTTGCACCGCGACCTAAGGTCTATTGTGCGCCCTCAGCAAGTAGTCAGTATTCATTCAAATCACCATTCGTCGCTGCAAAAGATTTGATACCGTTTTACGGTACTTACTTTGGTTTAAAAAGTTTTGCTTTCTCAGATTAGCAAATGAAATCTTTAAAGTTTTTATAAATATACCCCAACCTATAATCATTTAAGTGTATCTACCATATGTATGTCAATATTTCCTTGTCATCGATTTTCACTTTTCTCCACACATTTCACAATGTTAGCCTTTGAAGTTGAGTCAGCTGTACATGAATGGATTTCCCATTGATTTAGCTTGCTCTAATTTAAAATTTCACCCACTCCCACTGCCGCTCTCATTCTCTCCCTCCTTCCTCTCTCTACAAATTACTTTCACTTTGATCGAAGGTGACACTAATGTCTTGTGAAGATGTGATGATTCGAATTAATTATTTAATAAAAAAATTTAAATAATAACATTTTTCCTTTTGCTAACCGTTTTTCTCTCTCTTCTTTACAGGATTTTTACATACTGCGCTACCTGTTTGTTAAAGAAAACAAAAATCTCTTGTACAACTACTGAAACCATATATCAATTACCATAATAGCAAGAATAAAATCATTTGAAAATCTAAAACAAATAATACAACAAAAAACAGCATAACCGTCCATTAGCGCTAGCTGAAAGAGTTTTCCCCGTCGAAAGCTATGAAACTTTCAAGCGCATTTTTTGTGAATAAACGGTGGAGCAACAAAGCATAAAAACGGCGCGTGAAAATTTTAAGCAAACGTCGTATCTAGTGTCAACACCAGCACTCTAAATAGACGCGATTCTACAAAAAAGTAGCAGAAAAAAACTTAGCAAAAGCAAAAAAAAAGTATTTTTTATAAAAAGTTTATTCTGTGTATATTCACACCGACACAGAGAGAGACATACATATACCGGACGTTTTTATACGGTTTGCGCTTGTTTGGGAATTTTTAAAAGAAGTTGACGAGATTCATTAGCCAAGCATAGCGGTGATACTAGTACAAAATGGGTAGGAAAAAAATACAAATATCACGCATCACTGACGAACGTAACCGACAGGTGAGTGAAAATAATTTAAAAAAAATATTTTGTGAAAAAAATAATAATTTAAAAAGCGAAAAATATATAATATATTTTTATAATTTTCTTTTATTTAAATATAATATATACAAAATATTAAATACTTTAAATATTTTTTTATAAAACTTAAACAAGTAAGGAAGGGCTAACTTCGGATGTAACCGAACATTTTATACTCTCGCAAAGTCAAATGGTATACTCGTTTAAGATTTCTTTGTGGATTGACTGATATTTTCGGTAGAAGGTCAACTATAGGTACTGGGGTCCACATATTCAGTACCTAGGGGCTTGAACAGTTTTGGTTCGATTTAGAAAGTTTTTGGTCACAAGGTGGCATACTTTAAACGTATTATTCACGCAAAGTTTTACGCCGATATAATCATTGTTGCTTGATTTGCATAGTGGAAAGTGAAAGAATCAAGTGGTATTTAAAATGGTGTCATATGGAAAATAGGCGTGGTTGTAATCCGATTTCGCCCATTTTCGCACTATGACATAGAAACATGAAAAGAACGTTACGACCACGCTACACAGAGAGAGAGAGAGGTAAAGAGAGAGCTCAGCTTAATGCCGAGCATGGCAACGCAGCAAATGTTTGCTGTTGTTTGTGTGCGTTTATTAAGTGTTACGTGTTGCTGATAGCTCGGAAAGCAACAATAACAACAACAACATGGAGAAAAGTCAGAACAACAACTTATATGCTTACTTGTAACAATTGTAATGTACAAGTATGTCGTTTTGCTACCAGTGTTGTTGTTGTGTTTTTCGTTTATGTCCATTTCATAACATTGCTCAGCCAGCACACATACGTTTATGGTTGAATGCTATTAATATTTTTTTAACGTTTTATATGTTCTTTACTCTTCTGAGCCAGATATGTTTGAATATATTTCCATTTCCTATTTGCTGCGAGCAAACGTAATAGAGTAGAATAAAAATATCTTTATCTTGATTTTTATCGGAGATTATACCATTGCCTTGAGTAATAAACCATGTCAAATTCTGTGCAGATTCCTTGTCAAATCACAAAGTTTTCATACAAGGACTTAGGTTGAATCGGTCAGTTTGCGTGGCAGCTATATGCTATATTTGTCTGATGTCGGCGTATCTGACAAATGAATTGACGTGTCAATAATTTCCGATCGATATCTCAAAAACCGAGAGACTAAATCTACGCAACTCGTTAGGCTGATAATTCATATACATATGTATATATTTTATATGGTTCAGGGTACAACAATATTTGAGTCTTTTTGGAACAAGGCCAATATTTAAAATAATTATGTAGTTTATACAACCAAAATTTAGTAAAGTCTCTTTTTATACTCGGACTGAAAAATATGCGTATGGATATAACATATAAAAATAAAACTAGAATAAGGAATAAATTTTCGGTCGCAAGCTAAACTAACAATTGAGCTGATAAAAAATTTAGTAAGTTTAGTTTACAAAAAGTTTACGTGGTAATTTTGCGTTGCGATTTGGTTTTTAATCTCTTTATTTACTACTGACATTTCTTAAAAACTTCGAACTCTTACACAGTAACAATGATTGCTCATATACATGTTGCCTACTTCTAGGGGCATTTACTACATTTTTAGTGAAGTGACACACCGCAAAAAGATTGCAAATATATTTGGTAGTTTTTCCGTATTAAAACAAAATCTTTTCCCAGCTAAAAGTGGAAACTAGGCAAAAAGTTATTCGCTCTTATTAAGGTTATACTGAGGGGAAGAGACATAATATTTGGAGTCTATGTAAAACATTCAATGGCAAAAAAGTTTGCAATACAATAAAATTTGAAAAAAATTTCAAATTGTAGCATTGAAATAATCCAAGTGTTGATTTTATATAATTGTTATATAAAATCGGTTTTGGGTATTTAGTAACGATTTTAGGGAATCAAAGGTAAAAGTCCAAGGTTTAGGTCAGTTTAAAATATTTCATATGGCATAAAATTGTCTTAGCTGAAACTGAAAATCAATATATCTTATTAAGCACTGAATATGGTGCTCATGTATAAATAAAATATCACCTTTACTCTACTTTGTACCGATTTTAGGTACACAAAAGTGCCCTTAACTGAAATTGTGGCAGTTAATGAGGTTTGCACCTCGACCTAAGGTCTATTGTGCGCCCTCAGCAAGTAGTCAGTATTCATTCAAATCACCATTCGTCGCTGTAAAAGATTTGATACCGTTTTACGGTACTTACTTTGTTTAAAAGTTTGCTTTTCTCAGATTAGCAAATATAATCTTTAAAGTTTTTATAAATATACCCCAACCTATAATCATTTAAGTGTATCTACCATATGTATGTCAATATTTCCTTGTCATCGATTTTCACTTTTCCCCACACCTTTTACAATGTTAGCCTTTGAAGTTGAGTCAGCTGTACATGAATGGATTTCCCATTGATTTAGCTTGCTCTAATTTAAAATTTCACCCACTCCCACTGCCGCTCTCATTCTCTCCCTCCTTCCTCTCTCTACAAATTACTTTCACTTTGATCGAAGGTGACACTAATGTCTTGTGAAGATGTGATGATTCGAATTAATTATTTAATAAAAAATTTAAATAATAACATTTTTCCTTTTGCTAACCGTTTTTCTCTTCTCTCTTTACAGGATTTTTACATACTGCGCTACCTGTTGTTAAAGAAAACAAAATCTCTTGTACAACTACTGAAACCATATATCAATTACCACAATAGCAAGAATAAAATCATTTGAAATTTAAAACAAATAATACAACAAAAACAGCATAACCGTCCTTTAGCGCTAGCTGAAAGAGTTTTCCCGTCGAAGCTATGAAACTTTCAAGCGCATTTTTGTGAATAAACGGTGGAGCAACAAAGCATAAACACGGCGCGTGAAAATTTTAAGCAAACGTCGTTTCTAGTGTCAACAGCAGCACTCTAAATAGACGCGATTCTACAAAAAAGTAGCAGAAAAAACTTAGCAAAGCAAAAAAAAAACTATTTTTATAAAAATTTATTCTGTGTACATTCACACCGACACGGAGAGAGACATACATATACCAGACGTTTTTATACGGTTGCGCTTGTTTGGGAATTTATAAAGAAGTTGACGAGATTCATTAGCCAAGCATAGCGGTGATACTAGTACAAAATGGGTAGGAAAAATACAAATATCACGCATCACTGACGAACGTAACCGACAGGTGAGTGAAAATAATTTAAAAAATATTTTGTGAAAAATAATAATTTAAAAAGCGAAAAATTATAATATATTTTTATAATTTTCTTTTATTTAAATATAATATATACAAAATATTAAATACTTTAAATATTTTTATAAAACTT